CCAGCCCTTGCACAGCCAGGCACACAGCAGGTGCACACGGGCACACTTTCCATCCTGTTCCCCCTCCCTCCCCGGCCAGAGAGCCTGCACCAGCCCAGACCTAGTGCAGACTGTCTGTTCCTGCTGTTGTCACCCGTTCCCTAGAAGGGACAGGGGAATTTGGGTCCTTCTGGAGAAAAGTTCTGAGTTTGCAGCAGAACAGGGGAGACTTGTAACCCATTTGGGAATTTCCCCAGCGGTGGGGCCTGGGCCTCACCAGGAACAAACTGCTACTCATCACAGTCACAGTTCCCTCTTGTCCAGCACAGAGCATTCGGGGATCCCTGTGGCAGGTGGAGAAGCCACAGATGGTGGGCAGAAGCCACTGGGCAGAGGCCATGGGGTACAGAGAGGTCAGGGGACACTCCACCTGAGAGGGCTGCATTAGCAGACACTTTCCCTCTGTCTCCTTGTAGGACCCAGGTCCTCCCCATGCACCTCTGTGCCCAAGGCTCTGTCTCCGGGCCAGAGCTTCCCTCTCCCCAGCCAGGGTCTCCAGAGCACGAGCACCCCTTCCCAACCCCAGCCTGGCCTCCTCTGCCTCAGCAGGTTGGGGACTGCTTGGTGCTCCTCTGTTGGAGGTGGAGGTGGCCCCCAACATCTGCAGGAAGCTGGTGTCAAACATAAGCACAAGCAGGAGGGCCCCACTCCCCTCCCCTCCACTGCATGTGCTGGGGAGGCAGCCTGGGGGACAGAATGCATGGCCCAGCCGTACAGGCTGGGGGCAAAGAACAGGCCCAGGCTGTGGCTTGAGGAGTGGGTGGGGTTAGAGGTCTCTGGCAGGTGATGTAGCCCTAAGAGAAGCAGAGAAATGCTACCATTTTGGTGGGCCTCCCCTGGGACAGTCCATATGTCCCTCTACTGGTAATGGCACTGAGGCCCAGAGAGGGTCTGTGAGCTGCCCAAGGTCACAGAGCGAGACAGAGAGAGAGGATCCTGCCCACGAGAGGCAAAAGTCTCTTAGACAGGACGACTCCCTGCCCCCAGGAACTGAAGCAGCCTCATCCTCCCAAGGAGACCCTGGGGGAGGAAGAGGAGCGCCTGGCTTTTCCCTCCCATGGTCTACTCCAGTGTCATGGTTTCCTCTCAGATTCACGGCCTGAACTCCTGCTCCTGGTAGAGCCGGGTTTCAACACATAGCACCTGCTCTTGTTATCAACAGTGGGGATGGAATTTGGGAATGGCTCCATGACTAACAGCTGACTGAGAGGACAAACGCACCTGACAACACATTGCAGGGGCAGTGTCGTTCCAAGCAGCCCCTGGTCACCCAGCGACAGGTGGAGGAGCCAGGCCTAGACCCCATGGATCAGAACCGACGTCCAGAGTTGCCCTGCTGAGATGCTGCCCACCCAGAGGTGGGAGGGACTCTCACCTAATTAAGGGGCTTTCAACATCTGGCCCGGGGAGCCCTAAGCAGATGGGTGGCCATTCTCTCTGGTGACCAGGGGACTGAGCCGATGCAGTGTTGCTGTGGCCCACGGGTTCATGGGAAGTCTGCTCAGGGCCTGGACCCTGACCACACGTCCGATGCAGACTTGGCTCTGCTGGGAACCAGCGGCATCATCGCTCACAGGTCCTCCCATTCTGTGCTTCAGCCTGGAGTGAGATGCTGTGTTTGGGGGAATGTGGCTTCCGAATCTACACAAATTCAAATACGGACTAAATGATGATTAAAAACGGTCAGGCTCTGGCCCTAGCTGGTTTGGTTCAGTGGTTAAAGCGTCGATCCTCAGATGGATGGGTCTTGGGTTCGATTCCTAGTGGTTGGAGTCTGGTCAAGGGCATGTACCTCAGTTGCAGGCTCAATCCCCAGCCCCGGTTGGGGTGTGCGCAGGAGGCAACCGATAGATGTGTCTCTCTCACACTGATGTATCTCTCTTGAAAAGCAATGGAAAAAATATCCTTGAGTGAGGATTTAAAAAAAAAAAATTATTCAGCCCGGCTGGTGTGGCTCAGCGGTTGAGCATTCAGGAGACTGTGGTTCGATTCCTGGTCAGGGCATTTGCCCGGGTTGCAGGCTCCATCCCCAGTGGGGGGCATGCAGGAGGCAGCCGATCAATGACTCTCTCATCATTGATGTTCCTCTCCCTCTTTCTTCCTCTCTTTGAAGTCAATGAAGACATATTTAAAAAACAAAAAATAATTATTAAAAACAAAAAGACACACCTGTCAGACTCTGGCCTTCTGTGGCTCAGCAGAAGACCCTGAACTTGAACATGGGGAAGGACCCACAACCAAAGTGGGCCCAGCCTACCCTAGCCTTTCTCAGAATGAGATGGAGCTGCGGCCCTCCCCGCAGGGAGATGCCCGCATGGCCCTGCAGCCAGCGGTCCCCGAGGAGAGGTGGCCTTCCTGCACCTGGAGCTCCTCCGGGCCCAGGTTAAGCAGCCTCTCTTGGCCCCAGCCTGGCTGTCCCCCTCCCAGGGCACCGTGCACAAAGGAGGCTTGGAGCAGGACGGGCCGGTCTAAGATAAAGCTTTTTCTGTTATTCTAATAGAGGAACCAAGAAATATCCCTGCAAAAGAAGAAGTATCGTTGTGACCCCCCGATGCATACACCTCGGTCCCCAGCTGAGTGCCCATTCTCTGGAAAGCCACAAACATTCCAAGCCTGGGCTTCTACTGAATCATCTCAGACACTTTGAACTCCACTGACCTGGGACAGATGGGAGGAAGAGGCGGTGGGAGGCGGGGCAAGGTCCCTGAGGAGGTTAAATAGGTCACCTCCACCCTTGCCTCTCAGCCTGTCTCCCCCGAGCAGACAGACCCACCGCAGAGACCTTCTCCTGGACTCCCGGCACCATGACCCCCTTGAAGATGCTGCTCCTGGTCACCCTCCTCCTGGGGGCTTCTCTGCAGGACACCCGTGCAGGTGAGAACAGGGGAGAGGGGTAGGCACCGAGGCTACCACAGCAACCCACGCAGTTGTGTATTCACACCTCACTTTTTCCTACAACCACATGAGAGGTCGGCAGCAATGGGATTTTGAGGGAGGCGTTCAGGGGAAAATGATGATGATGGTAACGATGAAGAGGAGGGGGGAGGGCCCAGCACCTGGGGACTGGCCTGGTGAGGACACAGTGCTCCCACATCTCACACTCCAGTGGTTGTGAGGCAGTGACTGTGGTCATTTTGACAGCGAAAAGCAAGGAATTCTAAAAGCATTTGTCAGCGTGTGTCGGATGAAAGGCAGGAGAACAGGTTCCCAGAGGATGTGAAAAAAGATCTGTGCATCCCATTGGGAAAGAAGGGCTGAAATCAGATCCAAAGCTGGCGGGGCCCGCCTGCCCCACAGCCCCGGCGGCCTCCGGGCCTATTTTGTGGGGCAGGGGCAGGCGGGCCACCTGCACAGCGGGTGGCACCTTCGCTCTCACTTCTGTGACACGCTGGGCCCGCTCAGCTCTGAGGGCGAGGTCGGAGGGCAGCGGGCCTTCCTAGAAAGCTCGCTAGCGCCGGCGTGGTGGTAGCGAAAGCCTCACGTCCCCAGCTTGTCTTCTTGCAAGTGTTGGATATTTGTCGTTGCGCAGAGATGAGGAAGCCGAGCCCCGGAAAAGCGTCTTGACGCTTCAGGCCTCCGTTTTATCATCTGGACAATGGGGCAGTGGTAGCAACTGCGTCCAGGGGCGCTGGGAGGACTGAGCGGGCTGCTGCCCGGAAAGGCTCGGCGGGCCCAGAGTCAGGGCTGGAGTCAGGGCAGACACACATACAGATGCACACACAGACACACATGCAAGCGAGCCTGCACGACTCCCCAGACACACACAGATATCCACAGAGACACATGAAGATGCACAGTCATGGACACACACACAAACCCTCCCAGGCACAGGGATACATGCACATGCATACATACATTCACACGGAGATATACACACACATACATTCACACAGAGACACATGCACATACAAACACATTCACACAGAGACACACACATACATACATTCGCATACAGGGCCTCCTACAGCCCACATAGAGACCTCACACACACAGACGTGTGCATGTGACACACACACAGGCACATGTTCAGGCTCCTCACTTACTCCTCATGCAGAAACATACTCACAGATCCCCCCAAAACACACAGACACACACAACCCCATCCCTAACGCAGACCCACCCCTTTACCACACAGACACACACAGATATGCACACACAGACAGACAGACAGCCACACATACACAGACCCAGCACAGACCCTCGCTTAGCCGCAGACGCACACGGACACACCTGCTCCTGTTTCTTCCTCTGCAGCTCGAGGGACGGGTGTGGGCCTGGAGTGCTGCCAGGAGTACTTCCACGGGATCATCCCCATCAGAAAGCTGGTGAGGTGGTACAGGACCTCAGAGGAGTGTTCCAGAGCCGCCATTGTGTAAGTCTGCCCCACCCCTCCCCCACCCCGGACCCTGGGCGCTGAGCATGGGAGCAGAGGGCCCTGGAAAGAGGAGAGGAGAGCATGGCCTTTGTCACCCCCACCACCTTGGCCCTGTTCCTGTGCCCCACACTGCGATGTCCAAGGCCCAGGCCTTGAGGTCTGCCTTCTGCATTGGTTTATGGGAATACTGAGGCCCTGAGAGAGATGGGACAGCCCTATGTCACACGGGCAGTGACAGTGGATGTAGTCACTTCCCTGGCCTGGGCCTGCATACCCCTAGCTCCCCTGCTCTTGGTGGGCTGGGCAGAATGAGGTGGGGGCAGAAGGTCCTCCTGCCCTGGCTCTCTGGGAGAGTCAAGAGTCACTGAGAACAGAGCCTGATGTCCCAGCTTCCCTATTGATGCAGTGTGACTTCAGCAAGTCCTGGCAGGTGCAGGACAAGGCTGCCTGGGGCTCTGCGGGGCCTTCCGCCCTGACACCCCTGACGGTTTTCTCCCCTTCTAGGTTTGTAACCGTCCAGGGCAAGTATATCTGTGTGGACCCCAAGGACACCAAGGTGAAGAGGACAGTCAAATACTTGAACATCATTAGGTCATAATGACCTCCGCATCCAGCGGTCCTGATTTGTCCCTGGACCATTTGGAAACTGCCCATGGCCTCAGTGTTTGCTACCCCAATCCCCAGCTGCCTGGCTCCAGTGGAGGCCCTACAACGATGGAGAGGATTCCTGTCCCCTTTTCTGAACTGGAACCATGGATGAAAAGGCCCCGATTAAAGTCTTTCTTTCTCAGTGTGGGTCAGCGTGTTCTGTCCGCCCCAAGATGTCACACTGCAAGGGCACTCGGGGGACATCTGGTCCTGTCCTGCCCAGGTCAGAAAGGGAACTGAGGCTTAGAGGGGAACATGGCTGCTGCAGGCCACCCTCAGGTGAGGGAGGCCCTGTTGAGAGAGGCCCAGGCAGGGGTGGGGCTGACGGGGTCCATGGGAAGGGCAGGGCAGGGGTGGACCAGAGGTTCATTGGACCCTCCTCTCTGTGGTGTGTGGGCAGGTAGGGTTCTGGGCAGTGTCGTCTGGGTTCTCTCAGGTCTCTTGTCTGCCCCCTAAGCCCCCCAGTCTCCTCCCAGACCAGCCTCTGTGCTCACCTGTGACCCCTTGCCCTGTGAGGAGCTAAGCACACACTTCCCCTTAAGTGTGTGATCCAGTTCCATGGATGCATCCAGCACCCTTCCTTGTAGGGTTCTACCGAGTACTGGGGAGCTCCCTGGCCTGGGGGTTCCTGCAGCCCCCTCCCCATCTCGCCCACATCTCACTGCAGAACCTTTGCAAGACCCAGGTCCCTCTCCCAGCTCAAACTCCAGGCCAGCACCCACGGCCCAAGTCCTGAGCCTGCTTCCAGCTGTCTGCAGTCTGAGCCTTGCCCGTGCCCTAGTGTCACCTCCCACTGTACCCAGCCCTCATCTCCTGCTCCAGTCAGGCTGCCCCCCCCTCCAGCCTCAGCCAGAGCCAGCCCCCCACAACAGCGCCCACCCGATTCTCTCTCCTGCTGATTCCTCCAGCTGCTGGGGACTGTAGGACAACCCGCCTTGCAACACCCCAGTCTCCCATTGACTACTGTGTGGGTCTGTCAGTCCTGACTCCTCCAGGAGGCTAAGGGACCCTGGGGACCCCACAGCCGTGAGCTCAGAAGGATGGGGACAGGGAAGTTATGAACCCCCACCCTTAGCCCCCTCTGTCCAGGCCCAGCTCAGGGGCTGGAGCCCGCGTGCGCAGGGGGGATCTTCAGATTCTAGTTCTGTCTCACTCTCCTGACTGCCCGTGGACATGTAGCTTCTCTCTCTAGGATGCGTCTGGGGGCAGAGGAACTTGGTGGTCTTCCTAGGATTTTGTGACCTGCATTGTTTTTTCAGGCAAAGCTTTTGCCTCTTGCTGCCTTCTTGTGGTCAATCATCTCACTGCAGGCTGAACTAGCTCTCTTTCCAGTCTCGGGCATAAAACAATGATAATAGTGAATGAGGCTGATGATGGTGATGAACGGGCTTACTCTGTGACCCCAGGGTCTCCCGGCCACAGGTGGGCTCTTCCCCTGCCCTGATCTCGAGGAATATTCCTCAAACAACTGCCTCAGACCCAGAGTCTTGGGAGCTCATCAGTCCGAGTTCTCTGTGGGAAAATGTTGTCTGGGTCCATGGGGCCGGGGCATGATCATGGAGGAAGCACGATCTTGTGGATTTGGGGGTGAGGGGTAGACAAGGAGCCAGCAAAGGAGAGCGAGGATTCTTCACCCTGTAGGCCAGAGCTGGAAAAACTCAGAATGTGCATTGAATCCAGTACACTGTGAAATTGTCTTAAAAGAAGCAAAACCTTTCCATCCCAGTGAGATGGTCCTCGGAGGCCCGTGCTGTAACTCCCATGAACAGAGCTGCTGCGAGGATTGCGTGTGTGTGTGTGGGGGGGGGGTTGGGGTGCGGGAGATGCGGGAGATGGGATGAGCCGCAGTGCCCCCTGCAGGTTCCAGTCGGGGAGGTGCAGGGCTTTGTTTGGGGCTAGTGCGCATTTTCCTTAAGACCCAGGGTTTTCCTAGTTTTTTAAATGCAATGTCTTATAAACACAAAATACCTAATGCACGTGTAGGAAGTACAAGCCAATAATAAGATAAACATCCGTATACACACACAAACGCATACAGGCCCACCACAGACCTTAATGAACGGAAACTTCCTGCCGCTCCAAAGTCCCTGTTGCCATCCTCTCATCAATCTCCAGAGACAGCCATGTCCCTGAATTTTGTGTTTATTGTGTCCCTAGATTTCCTTTGGTCCGTCACACGTGTGTATATACATAGGCGTGAACATGTATATATATGTAGTGTAATCCCTAGCAATGTACCGATACATCTTACATGTTTTTAAACTTTTGGACTTTATATCCAAGGTGACAGACTTCCTACGCGCACGCTTCTGTGACTCGCTCCTGCGGCTTCACGTTCTGCGAGATTCGTCCACGTGGGTGTGCGCAGCTGTGGCTCATCACCGTTCACCACGTGAGTGCGGGCAGCTCATTCATCCGTCCTCTTGTTGAGGGCCACGTGGACCAGTGCCAGGTTCTTGCTATTCCAAATCGTGCTGCTGTGAGCAGTCTTCCACTTGCCTTCTGGTGCGCGTGTAAGAGAATTTGTCCAGGGCAGCGGTTCTCAACCTTGGATGCGCTCCAAAATTACTCGGGAAAGCTTTGCGAAATGCTGACACCCTCGGCTCAATTGCAAAAGATGCACTTGGCTGGCCTTTGGAGGGGAGGGGGTCCCAGGTGTAGGCTTTTTCATGTTGTTTTTCAGAAGCTACTCAGGTGACTAATATACAGCCAGTGCTGAAGTTGACACTATGGGGTGTAACTGCCCAAACCCATCCCCCGACGGTGTGGGAGAGTCCCCACCTGGCCGTATCTTTGCCAATACCTGGGAATGGCTCCCGGTGTAGCTTTCCCCTCCCCCCACCCAATTGCCGCTAGCTGGAAGATCATCAGAAAGCAAAGCCCTGCTTCTGCCCAACAACCAGAGCGCTTCCTGCCTGCCAGGCTTCCTGTGGGACCCTTTGTCCAGCCCCACTGTCCGCCAGCACACTGGGGACCCGTTCCAGTGGCGCGAGGGGTTTGATTTTGCAAAGCAAGGAGGTTTCTCAGCCTGGAGCAGGTAAGGCCTCCCGTCTCCTCCTCCTCTCACTCCCACACTCCAGCTCCAAAGCCCCCCTCCCCCCCCC